ACCTGTAAAGGAGTTTCAGAATAACATTTATATCAAACATCCAGTAAGCTTGGAACAGTATTTAATTGAGGGAAGTTACAATAAGGTTTTTCTAGCCAGAGGAAATGTTCCAGCAGACTACTATAACTTCTTCATTGATATTTTACTGAACACAATCAGAGATGAAATAGCAGGCTGTATAGAAAAAGCATACAACCGTATTGGTCTTAATGAAGCTGCCAGAATGCTTTTCTTTGAAGCTCAAAAACCAATGAAGGAATATGCTACACAGAGAAAATGACGATCAGAGAAAAACTTTTTTCACTTTATCCATGAAGCTAAGGATGCTGATCACACTATCCCTGCCAAAATATTAGCTACACAAACCATTTAATATGCCAGAGAACTTGAAATGATAGTATAAACTTTGATGTTAAAGCCTTTTTCATCTGTTTTATTTAACACAATTTGACATATTTGATTTGAAAGGAACTTACATTTTAATAAAAAAAATTTTAAAAGCTGGGGATTCTAAAATGTGACGGATTGTGTTAAATTTCAAACAATGAATTATTTTTAAAAAGTATATCTGAATAGCATTAGAAACAAAAATAGGGACATAAACATTTTTAAAAGAAAATTAGTTTGGTTGGTCAGTCTGAAAAAAAAAGTTGTTTAGTGGTTTTTGTGTGAGTGAAATTTTGTACAACGTGCGGATTTTGAACTCAATTTTATTAAACTTCAAACAATAAAAAAATGTTTAACAGAAAAAAAAAAGGAGCGCGTCTTGTGGATAAAAATCTGAGATTGTTATAAGTTTACTTTTTATAGCTGTTCGACTGTAGGCCTACAAAAGTTTATCATATTGAAAAAAAAGAGTAAATGCACCAGCAAATCAGAACCATTTGTCATGTGAATAAAATAAATCAGAACCATTTGTCATGTGAATCCAACAAATCAGAACCATTTGTCATGTGAATCCAAAAAATCAGAACCATTTGTCATGTGAATAAAATAAATCAGAACCATTTGTCATGTGAATCCAACAAATCCGAACCATTTGTCGCGTGAATCCAAGACATTTCCATCTCCTGAGCCCTCCATTCTATTAAAACAGAAACATATCCCACATCTTCTACCAAAGACAAGGCAAGGTCTTTACAGTAACATGAGCTAAATAAGAAGAAAAGAAAATATTATTTTGACTTTGATTAATTTGTTTCATCTGAAGGAATAAAAACAGATTTAGATAGAGTAGATCATTTTTCTTAGGATATGCTGAGTTTTTTTTTTTAATTAAACAACTTTTATACATGACAAATTTTGATTTAATTAAAAATTGCCTCTGATGTTCACAGAAGAGGAATTAAAAGCGTTGAATTATTAAAGAACTGTTAATATAAATATTGGCAAACAGACGTTAAGTTGTTATTATGTGCATTTTTACTAACAATTTCGTAAAGCTTTATTTGGCTAAAATTAAATACCAAGTTCCACGCATCTTGTCTGAGGCGAAAAATTGTAATATTGATTGTAATATTGATTGTAATGTTGATTGTAATGTTGATTGCCTGGAAATCCCATTATATCCACTCCAGCTGTGAAACCCTAGAGTGCCCCCAACAGAAATGCAACCATAAAATACGATTGTCATGGGACTGAGGCCATGAATGCATCGACTCCCTAGACTCTTGATAAGATTCACCAGGTATTTTTTCCTTGGTGTTCTCCTTTACACGTAAAGCTGACGCTCGATCTTTCAGATAGAAAACGCATACCTTGGAGAAATCTTAGGTAGGATATCCCGTCAAGACCTCACTGAACTTCCTATAAACTTCTCAACAATGTACTCGGTTTTACAATCAGGGAAAGCACATTTTAACTCGACCAAACTACACACATTGAACTCACAATACATTTAAATCACGATACACTCACAAAACAAACTTCTATATGAGATTCTCAAGCCAAATCTCATATAATTCTCATTCATTCTTTATAAAACGATTACACTTTACAAAACAAATCTTTTGATATTTTCATTCATTTTCCTCAATATGTTTACAATTTTCAAAACATACTCCGGATGTGATGAAGGACTGAGAAGTAAAACGGTGAAAACGGTCAAAATTGCATATTATTTTTTTGCACGATTACAGTACTTTCTCTATACTTCGTATATACGAGAAAGTAAAAAAATAAAACGAAGGCGATTTATGACTGTGAATAGGGTATAAAGGGAGATCAGTGTCATTTATTTAATACAAGTTGCGCTACTCTCTAGGTAATTATCTTTTTGATAATTTTCAATACTTACCTTTTGGTTAACTATAAATTATAATAATCAAGATAATGCTATAATTTATATAATTAAGACATACGAGGTCTACTAAAATTTTGATCCAATTTTGTCGTATTAAATTAGAATAGAACCTAACTGTTTTTGAGAAAAATAAACTAACAAACTTAACGCTAACATTTATTCTTTTATTTTATAAGCTTTTGAAAAAATGTATAGGCACTACACGCTTCTGGATCATATGATATATCAAATCTCCAAACAAATGTTCCTTTAGAAAGACTGACTAAATACTCAGCATCTGATCCTTGTAAACAAAACATGGAAACACTTGTTGAAATGGAAATTGCAGATGAGCAGTCAGATAGCAGCCGCATGCCATTGCACAGGGAACATGAGACCCACACATATGAGTATCTTGTGCTGTACAGTGAGAGTCATCAAGTTCCTGTATTTTAATGTTTTCAAGAAAGATGGTAAATTGTTGTCACTAGAAGATGTGTGGAAACTTTGTCCAGTCAGTTATCAGAAATATATGAATGAAAACAAATGGGCCACACTGTCACAACCAGAGCATCCACTCCTGGGACCAGTGGCGTAGCGAAGTCGGGTGTCACCCGGTGTGACACTCAATGGTGTCACCCCCCCCCCCCCCCCCAGAGGCATAGAGACCCTTCCCAGGGACAAAGTTTCAAATTTTCGATTTGCACCCCCCCCCCCTCAAACCTTCGATTTGCGCCCCCCCCCCCTCGAGTTTTTCTCTATATATTTTGCTATTTTTTGCCTTGGTGACACCCCCCTAAATGGTGTCACCCGGTGCGGTCCACACCCCCCGCCCCCCCCCCCCCCCCCCCCCGCTACGCCCCTGCCTGGGACGACCATATTCCCAACTTCCTCCCTGCCACACCTCTGACCTGATGGCACAAATAATGACCAACACAAAAACCTGTAATATAAAAAACTATTTAGCTACATGGCTGAGCACAGTTGGCCCATTAGTTGGCCTTAGTATATCCCCCGCATATATTACTGATGTTTGATACGTTTTATATTAATTTTGTCCAATGATTATTATAACCATATACAAAAGCTTTAAAATAAAAGTTATAAAATTTAAAAAAAAATTACCTTCAGGGCCGCGACATGTGGATAAATTTTGAGTGTTATAATTCAGGGCCGGCAACCTGCGGCTCACGAGCCGCATGCGGCTCCCAAGATGTTAAGGTGCAGCTCTACAGCTCCATGCATAAATATTAATGACGAGCCGACCCATGGCGTTATATAAGCCGCTATTTAGTTGTTTTATTTTCTACTTTCTCAGTAATTCATAATTTGTGAATTCGACAGTAGGCCTACTAATGCTGCCACTGAAAATAATTGCTTTAAAACAAGTATCAGTAGCTCGTTAACGACGATAACCCACTCCCACCCTCCCTTCCCCCAACTCCAACACCCCCCCCCCCCCGTGAAAGCAGCCACCCCTGCGAATTTGACTTTTTACTCAACGCTTTCATACAACAATGGCGTGCTGGGCGTTAGTGTAGGTAAATCCGTGCCCCAATAAATATGATCCAAGCACAGGCATTGTTTACATTTAAATAACTCAGTTTTAGAAAACAAGGAAGTACATTGAAAAATGGAGTAACTAAATATTCTAATAGAATAGCGAGTGTTTATTGTTTATATTTATTATTATATTACCGAGTGTTGCAGACGAATATTTTCATGAGTTTATAAAATAAAATAATCTCTCTATATATGTCTCTTCTTGGAGACCTTAGAAAACACCAAGCTGTAGGCGCGCCTAGCAGGCCCCTCTCTTCCTCTCTAGACATATCCCTACCACCCCCACCCCCACACGGTCTGAGTATATTAAAATGTTAGTGGCTCTTTGAAAGCTGGGCAATTTTGTAAATTGTAACTTTTGGCTCTTCTGTCTCAAAAGGTTGCCGACCCCTGGTCTATAGGTATCGATATCCTCAATAGTCGATGTATTCCCCAATGCAACCGTTTATATGCATCGATACCCTCTGTAGTCGATGTATTTCCAAGTGGTCTATGTGTATCGATATCCTCTGTATTCGATGTATTCCCTAGTGCAAAGGTCTAAATGTATCGAAATCATTTACATTTAAATTACTTTAACTTTAAAATCTAACAGCAGTAGAGTGCACAACTGCTAACCCTAAGCTTGAATTGCTAGACTACATGTCTAATATAAAGGAAAGTAAAAGTAATTGATGTTCGTAGAGCCGACCACACTATCCCTTATTATCCCTTATTATGCCGAGGTTGCAGAAACAGGTTTACTTACATTGTGTTACTGACCAACATTACCAAAAGGATGTAGATTTATTTATTTATTTATTTACTTTATTTATTTTGTTAAACGTTATTTAAAATTAAAAAACGTAGCTATATTAAAAATAATTGCTAAACGTTATTTAAAATTAAAAACGTAGCTTTATTAAAAATAATTGTTAAACGTTATTTATAATTAGAAACGTAGATATATTATAAATATAACACAACATACACTCACTAAAATACTAAACGAGTTTGGGTTAGATTTTTTTTAAATAACATAATGAAAGTAGGCTACATCCTACTAAAATATCACTGACATTCGCATCGATTTTACACAATTTTGAGCGCGTTTTTGTTTTACTTGAATTCCATTTGAGCACCAAAACGCACCGTGCGTAAACAGGCCCGAGGCCGCACCATGGATGGCAGAAAAGACACCAGGAGAATGTGGCCATGGTGGTGTCTGGCAACACAGGGGAAGCTCCACAAAGTCGATAAGAAGAGGGAAAAGTCGAGTCAGGGAGGCTGTAGTACAGCAACAGGCAGCGGGCTGTTGTAACAGGAATCAGGTCGCTGAACAGCAGTCAAGTTGCAGGGCTGTTCTTGTAGTGAAGTTGTTGTGTTGCTCTCATGGTGGGATTACTCGAAGGGAATTTTTGGTCCTGAATATGATTCTATATTTTTAAAAAACGTAGGTTTGTTGTAAAGATACATTTGTTCTACATTGTATTTATGTATATTTAGTTATTATGATATACATTGGTACTGCCGTAGTCTGAATGTTTAAAAACCTTAAAATAATAATACAATTATTATAATACAAAATTATTATTATGTTAATATAATTATTATGTTAAGAAAATATCGCTACACTCGATACAATTGACTCCATTTTTTAGATAAAATTTAAACATAGGTTGTCCCATATACATTAAACACATAAAGGACCGTAGTTAGCATTGACGTTACTATGAGTTAGGGCTAGGTTTATATTGAGAATAATAACCATAAGCCTAATACTAATTATTTGAAAACGTATTGAGTATAGGAAACAGGTTGATACATATACGATACCTTGTACGATCGAGTATAAGTATCGTTTAGCTGCCTTTTTATCGGTATCGCGGCTACAGTTTGATACGTAGCTCTTGAATCACGATTACGATTAGGTTAAGTGCCACGTTTAGTGTTGCGATTAAAGCTAGGTTAGCGATGCTAGCAAAGGACAATATTGTCAATAACTAGTTATGATCTACCAGTGTTTTCTTAAGTAGCAAGTTACGCACCTTAATCATATCCCAGTAGCACATTGGATGTGTGTTATTTATGCTAAATTAAATAATGGTTGTCAGTATTGGCGTAGGCAGGATTTGTTTATGGTAGGGTCATGGGTGTGAAAAAAGAGGGGGTGGGGGGGGGGTTGAGATAACAACGATGTTATAAACAATGTTAGCAAGTGGTGGGGGGGGGGTAGGGGGGTTATAATTTAATAAGACTCTGCCCAAACCACTAAATATCGTAAACATCACAATTTTAAAAATATTCGTTTCTGGAAGAAAAATACATATTCATAAATAGTGTCATGTATTGGAAGCTAAGAACAGTGTTTCTTCCAGACTTTTTCCTCCGGGGGGGGGGGGCACTTAAATTTTCCGGGGGGTAGACTTTCTTCGGGGGGGGGGGGGGCAGAGCTCCCCCGAAGAGATGCCTGGAAGAAACTCTGGTTAAGAGTGATCATGGTGAGTTATGCATAGTTTAAATCTTGTTTTCGCAGCTCCTTTTATCTTTAGTCCTGGCTAGTTATATGGGCGTCCATGTCGTTGCCTGGCAACTGTCAACGCTGTAATGGCGTCGGTGTTTGTGGGGGACCTTCCAAGTAACGTCAACGAATCGGAACTCTACCAGAAATTTTCCCAAATCGGAACTGTTTTGTCAGTCAAGGTAGCCTGTCTTACGACTGTCGTACACCCATATTGTCTTTCATACATATTGTCTTTCAGTTGTCTTACACACATGTTGTCTTACACTTATGTTGTCTTACACCCACGTTGTCTTACATACATGTTGTCTTACACCAATGCTGTATTAGAGTTGTCTACACGCAAGTTGTCTTACACTCATGTTGTTTTACACCCACGTTGTCTTACATACATGTTGTCTTACACACATGTTGTCTTACATACATGTTGTCTTACACACATGTTGTCTTACACACATGTTGTCTTACACACATGTTGTCTTACACACATGTTGTCTTACACAAGTTGTCTTACTCACAAATTGTCTTACACTTATTTTATCTTATGCGCTTGTTGCTTTGAACTGTTCAGATTCATGTAGAGATAAAGGCAATGTTGTAAAACTTCACTCTTTGATGTCCTACCTACCACCATTAAAAATGTCGATATTCTACTTTATATTCATGTTCAACTAATACAATATACTGATTTTGAATTTGCAACGAAAATAGAAGAAGAAAGGACTGTAAAGTGATCAATTTACTAATAATGCTGATGTCTGTATTTACCCAATCTTAAAGATGTTTGTGTTTAGTTGAACTTTTTACTGTGCCTAAAAGCTTTAGATGGTGGTGGTTATTTATGGGGGGTGGGAAGTGGTGAGGGTGGGATGGTGGTGGTCACGGGTAAAATGATTACTCAATACAACCATTATTAAAAATTATATAATAATTGTTTATCGAAATGAAAATTTAATAAAACAGGGGTAAAAAAAAAACACTTACATTTGCATTTAAAGTTTAAACTAATTCGTTATTTTGTTTAAATCCAATCCATTGTAGTTGTGTAGGGACTTTGAGAGTGGAACACCACTGGGCTATGGATATGTTGTTTATCAGGAATACGAAGATGGTTCGTATTGTTATTTTAATGATGTATCTATTATATTTCCAACTAAAATATGTTTTCCATTTTTTGATAAATATAATCGCATCAAATGCTCAATAGTCATACCAACATTTTCAATTATCTAGTTAAACTATAGTCTACTAGTCTACTATATTTGCATGAATCCTAAATATAAATATAAGTTTCCAACTATCAGTGTGTAGATTACCAGCAGTGCTAATATCTAAACAACCATTAATCCTTATATGTGACACGAAACACACACACACACACACACACACACACACACACATATATATATATATATATATATATATATATATATATATATATATATATATATATATATATATATATATATATATATATATATATATATATATATATATATATATATATATATGTGGGTTTTTTGTTTTTTTGTTTTATTTTTTTATCATTGTATGTATGTATATACATATGATTGATTAAAGTTATAAACACGAAATGCTATTTTTATTGTTCAATTTTTTTGTTTGAACTTTTTAAAATGTGTAGCGGAAAAAGCGGTGGAAACGTTCAACTTTGATGTCCTGCAGAATCACAACATCCGGGTCATCATGGCGGACAAGATAAACCTGTGCCAGTTCATGCAAGGTCATGTGTTTGTCAAAAACCTGGATCGGAGTGTCGACTCCAACATTCTGTATCGAGCTTTCTCTTCTTTTGGCAAAATTATCGCGTGCAAGGTAAACTTGGTTCTAGCAGTTAAATTATTGCGTTCAAGGTAAACTTGGTTCTTGTATTAAAATTATCGCGTGCAAGGTAAACTTGGTTCTAGTAGTAAAATTATAGCGTTCAAGGTAAACTTGGTTCTAGTAGTTAAATTATTGCGTGCAAGGTAAACTTGGTTCTAGTAGTAAAATTATCGCGTGCAAGGTAAACTTGGTTCTAGTAGTAAAATTATAGCGTGCAAGGTAAATTTTGGTTATAGTAGTTTTAAATTTTGGTTCTAGCTGTTAGATTATAGCGTGCAAGGTAAACTTGGTTCTAGTAGTAAAATTTTAGCGTGCAAGGTAAACTTAATAAAAAAATTATAGCGTGCAAGGTAAACTTGGTTCTAGCAGTTAAATTATTGCGTGCAAGGTAAACTTGGTTCTAGCAGTTAAATTATTGCGTGCAAGGTAAACTTGGTTCTAGCAGTTAAATTATTGCGTGCAAGGTAAACTTGGTTCTAGCAGTTAAATTATTGCGTGCAAGGTAAACTTGGTTCTAGCAGTTAAATTATTGCGTGCAAGGTAAACTTGGTTCTAGTAGTTAAATTATTGCGTGCAAGGTAAACTTGGTTCTAGTAGTAAAATTATCGCGTGCAAGGTAAACTTGGTTCTAGTAGTAAAATTATAGCGTGCAAGGTAAATTTTGGTTATAGTAGTTTTAAATTTTGGTTCTAGCTGTTAGATTATAGCGTGCAAGGTAAACTTGGTTCTAGTAGTAAAATTTTAGCGTGCAAGGTAAACTTAATAAAAAAATTATAGCGTGCAAGGTAAACTTGGTTCTTGTAGTAAAATTTTAGCGTGCAAGGTAAACTTGGTTCTTGTAGTAAAATTTTAGCGTGCAAGGTAAACTTGGTTCTTGTAGTAAAATTTTAGCGTGCAAGGTAAACTTAGTTCTTGTAGTAAAATTTTAGCGTGCAAGGTAAACTTGGTTCTTGTAGTAAAATTTTAGCGTGCAAGGTAAAATTGGTTCTTGTAGTAAAATTTTAGCGTCCAAGGTAAACTTGGTTCTAGCAGTAAAATTATCGCGTGCAAGGTAAACTTGGTTCTTGTAGTAAATTATAGCTCGCAAGGTAAATTTTGGTTCTAGCTGTTAGATTATAGCTTGCAAGGTAAACTTGGTTCTTGTAGTAAAATTATAGCGTGCAAGGTAAACTTGGTTCTTGTAGTAAATTATAGCTCGCAAGGTAAATTTTGGTTCTAGCTGTTAGATTATAGCTTGCAAGGTAAACTTGGTTCTTGTAGTAAAATTATAGCGTGCAAGGTAAACTTGGTTCTTGTAGTAAATTATAGCTCGCAAGGTAAATTTTGGTTCTAGCTGTTAGATTATAGCTTGCAATGTAAACTTGGTTCTTGTAGTAAAATTATAGCGTGCAAGGTAAACTTGATTCTTGTAGTAAAATTATAGCGTGCAAGGTAAACTTGATTCTAGCAGTAAAATTATAGCGTGCAAGGTAAACTTAATACAAAAATTATAGCGTGCAAGGTAAACTTGGTTCTTGTAGTAAAATTATAGCGTGCAAGGTAAACTTGATTCTTGTAGTAAAATTATAGCGTGCAAGGTAAACTTGATTCTAGCAGTAAAATTATAGCGTGCAAGGTAAACTTAATACAAAAATTATAGCGTGCAAGGTAAACTTGGTTCTTATAGTAAAATTATAGCGTGCAAGGTAAACTTGATTCTTGTAGTAAAATTATAGCGTGCAAGGTAAACTTAATACAAAAATTATAGCGTGCAAGGTAAACTTGATTCTTGTAGTAAAATTATAGCGTGCAAGGTAAACTTGATTCTTGTAGTAAAATTATAGCGTGCAAGGTAAACTTAATACAAAAATTATAGCGTGCAAGGTAAACTTGGTTCTTGTAGTAAAATTATAGCGTGCAAGGTAAACTTGATTCTAGCAGTAAAATTATAGCGTGCAAGGTAAACTTAATACAAAAATTATAGCGTGCAAGGTAAACTTGATTCTTGCTGTAAAATTGTAGCGTTCAAGATAAATGTTATTCTAGCAGTATAATTATAGCGTGCAAGGTAAACTTTGGACTAGCAGTTTTGGATTCTATATCATACAACACTATCTGGGTTTCAGCAATAAAATTATATCGCACAACATATACCGGATATGAACAGCTTACTAAAAGGACCACAAAAACAAATTAAAAGCCCCTATTTAAATTATTTATTACTCTGATTTTAAAAAAAATACGGATCTCATAAAAGTCCATGGCCCATAACTCTGATGTATGTTACCCCGTGTTCTGTAACTCTGATATATGTGATCTTCCCAGGTTCTATAACTCTGATGTATATGTTCCCCTAGGTTCCATAACTCTGTAGTATATGTCTTCAGGTACCATAACTCTGGTGTATATCTTCCCCCAGGTTCCATAACTGATATATATGTTCCCTTAGGTTCCATAACTCTGATATATATGTTCCCTTAGATTCCATAACTCTGATGCATATGTTCCCCCAGGTTCCATAACTCTGATGTATATGTTCTTCAGGTTCCATAACTTTGATGTATATGTTCCCCATAGATTCCATAACTCTGATATATATGCTCCCTATGTTAGATAACTCTGATGTATGTTCCCCAGGTTCCATACCTGTAATGTATATGTTCACTAGGTTCCATAACTCTGATGCATATGTTCCCTATGTTCCATAACTCTGATGTATATGTTCCCCAGGTTCCACAGGGTAAAAAGTGCTCCAAGTGTCATGGCTTTATCCAGTATGAAACAGAAACAGACGCCAACTCCGCCATCAATAACATGAATGGGGCGATGTTTTATGGGAAAAAGATGTGAGTCTATGGGTCATGTGGGTTGTGATGTTTTGTGGGTCATGTGGGTTATGATGTTTTGTGGGTCATGTGGGTTGTGATGTTTTGTGGGTCATGTGGGTTGTGATGTTTTGAGGGGTCTATGGGTCATGTGGGTTGTGATGTTTGGTGGGTCATGTGGGTTGTGATGTTTTGTGGGTCATGTGGGTTGTGATGTTTTGTTGGGTCACTGGGTCATGTGGGTTGTGATGTTTTGAGGGGTCTATGGGTCATGTGGGTTGTGATGTTTTGTGGGTCATGTGGGTTGTGATGTTTTGTGGGTCATGTGGGTTGTGATGTTTTGTTGGGTCACTGGGTCATGTGGGTTGTGATGTTTTGAGGGGTCTATGGGTCATGTGGGTTGTGATGTTTTGTGGGTCATGTGGGTTGTGATGTTTTGTGGGGTCTATGGGTCATGTGGGTTGTGATGTTTGGTGGGTCATATGGGTTGTGATGTTTTGTTGGGTCACTGGGTCATGTGGGTTGTGATGTTTTGAGGGGTCTATGGGTCATGTGGGTTGTGATGTTTTGTGGGTCATGTGGGTTGTGATGTTTTGTGGGTCATGTGGGTTGTGATGTTTTGAGGGGTCTATGGGTCATGTGGGTTGTGATGTTTGGTGGGTCATGTGGGTTGTGATGTTTTGTTGGGTCACTGGGTCATGTGGGTTGTGATGTTTTGAGGGGTCTATGGGTCATGTGGGTTGTGATGTTTTGTGGGTCATGTGGGTTGTGATGTTTTGTGGGTCATGTGGGTTGTGATGTTTTGAGGGGTCTATGGGTCATGTGGGTTGTGATGTTTGGTGGGTCATGTGGGTTGTGATGTTTTGTAAGTTCTACGGGTCATGTGGGTTGTAGTGCTTTGTGGGGTTTATGGGTTGTGATGTTTGGTGGGTCATGTGGATTGTGATGTTTGGTGGGTCATGTGGATTGTGAGGTTTGGTGGGTCATGTGGGTTGTGAGGTTTGGTGGGTCATGTGGATTGTGAGGTTTTCGGTAAGTCAAGTTTGTGTGTGGAGATTGAGTCTATGGGTTGCAGGTTTTGGTGTTTTGTGGGGGTCTATGATTCATGTAGGTTGTGATGTTTTGTAATGAGATGTAGGGAGGGGGGGGGGAAGAAGATTATAAATATTTTTTGTTCCAATGCGTCTTAGCATTTGGGGTTTAATTCCATATCTATACTAAACCATATCCAATTTAACTGTTGAAAACGAGATAATTTTCGTTGAACCTGTCAAGGGAGCCTACTCAACAAAATCATTTTGCGACTATAACATTCCTTTTAATGAGATATTTTTAATTTCACTATATACGGAGTTCTAACTGTTTAAAAAAATGATGAAGTACAATTTTACAATGAGCGGCTCTTTGTAATGAATAAAAGATGGTTGTATCAATAATTTTGTTGAACTGTAATTACGACCGCAACTACGACTGCGTTTTAAAATGTAAAATTACCTGTAAATAGAAGAGCAAAGGGTAGGCCATAAACAGACATTATAACCGAAACATCGCCCTTTATATGTTTGAACAAAAAAAATGGTTTTAGTAAGTTTTAAATACGTTTGTTTAATTACTGAGCAAATAATTGTGTTTATTTTTATTTCTATTGTTAATGTCTCAGTAAATCATGTTGCATGGTAAAGACATTTGCTATGTTTTACTCTAGCCAACTGTATAAGTATCATGCTGTCGTTCAGATGTGTAATCGTCGCTTACCCAAAATTAACACTATACAGTGTATTATTATAAGTCCTCTAGATTTGTAGCATGTTTTCTTTCAATATTTTACATGTGTCCAACATCTGTCCAACTATAACTATATCAATATCTTGTAGGACATTTCTCCACTAACATATTGTCCAATAATTCTTTCTTCTAGATTTGTAGAACATTTTCTCCCCTAGCATAACCATTGTCCTATAATTCTTTCTTCTAAGTTGGTAGGACATTGTATCACTATTATACCAACTGTCCTATAATTCTTTCTTCTATGCTGGTAGGACATTTTGTCCCCTAGTATAACAATTGTCCTATAATTCTTTCTTCTTGATTTGTAGGACATTTTCTCTCTATATTCAACACTAGCCACTTGTCCTATTATTATTGTTCTCTAAATTTGTAGGATTATTTATCCGTTAGTTTAACATTAGCACGATGTCCTATCATTCTGTACCCTAAATTTGTAGGACATTTTCTCTCCATTTTCAACGACCTAGCCTCTTGTCCTATTATTATTGTCCTCTAAATTTGTTTAAACACTAGCACGATGTCCTATCATTCTGTCCCTTAGATTTGTAGGATTTTTTCACCTTTAGTTAATTACTAGCAAGATGTCCTATCATTCTGTCCTCTAGATTTGTAGGACATTTTCTCCACCGGGATCAGAGGGACACACCCACAGACACACCCCCGGGCACCCCCTCCGCCAGCGCCCCCGCCACAAGTCTCCGCACGGTGTACATCAAGAACCTGGGCCCGACTGTGGATTCAGTTTTTTTAAAGATAACCTGCTCACCTTATGGAGATGTGTCCAATGTCAAGGTCAGTCTGCTGTGCCCAACACCGTCTGCAAAGGTGTTTTTTTAGTTAAATTTTAACCCAGGATATAATTACCGTCTAATCTCCATTTAGCTAATAAACAAAATCTTGATTTATCCTGGACTTATTCATTGAAGATTTTGTTAAAATACTAAACTTTATATCTAGTTATATGCGGGGGGGGGGGGGGGGGTGTAGTTAAAATTACTCAGGTTTGAAATATACATAAAGTTCCCACTTCCAATTCAAATAAAAATGTATTATAAGTTAACTAGATTGCTGAAATCTGATGATGAAAATTGCATTATTTTATTTGTATTTTGTAAAGATTAGTCAGTAGTTACGTCAGCATGCGATTTCAGTAAACATATCCATATAATTTGACTAAGTGAACAGCATTGACCTATAGTTTTTCTGTCCAAGAAGCCTAATATGTGTGTGTTTTTTTTATTCAGGAAAATAAAACACTCGTTTATATTAAATTTAGTTTATAACAAACTCGTGAATGTTTTTGTAACGAATAGACTGATGTATTACAATAGACTGATGTATTAGATTAGACTGATGTATTAGAATAGACTGGTGTATAACAATAGACTGGTGTATTACAATAGACTGATGTATAGATTAGACTGATGTATTAGATTAGACTGATGTATTAGATTAGATTGATGTATTAGATTAGATTGATGTATTAGATTAGATTGATGTATTAGATTAGATTGATGTATTAGATTAGATTGATGTATTAGATTAGATTGATGTATTAGATTAGACTGATGTATTAGATTAGATTGATGTATTAGATTAGATTGATGTATTAGATTAGATTGATGTATTAGATTAGATTGATGTATTAGATTAGATTGATGTATTAGATTAGATAGATGTATTAGATTAGACTGATGTATTAGATTAGATTGATGTATTAGATTAGACTGATGTATTAGATTAGATTGATGTATTAGATTAGATTGATGCATTAGATTAGATTGATGTATTAGATTAGACTGAAGTATTAGATTAGATTGATGTATTAGATTAGATTGATGTATTAGATTAGATTGATGTATTATATTAGATTGATGTATTAGATTAGATTGATGTATTAGATTAGATTGATGTATTAGATTAGATTGATGTATTAGATTAGATTGATGTATTAGATTAGACTGATGTATTAGATTAGATTGATGTATTAGATTAGATTGATGTATTAGATTAGGCTGATGTATTAAATTAGACTGATGTATTAGACTAGACTGATGTATTACAATAGACTAGTGTATTACAATAGACTGATGTATTACAATAGACTGGTGTATTACAATAGACTGATGTATTACAATAGACTGGTGTATTACAATAGACTGATGTATTACAATAGACTGATGTATTACAATAGACTGGTGTATTACAATAGACTGATGTATTACAATAGACTGTAGTATTACAATTTTTTGTATTTAAAATAGAATGCAGTATTACCTATTACATTTACAGATAATTCGAGACGCTGACGGATCGTCTAAAGGATTTGCATTTGTTACGTTTAAAAAAGTTGAAGAAGCAGTCAAGGTATTTTAGTGTACTTTACTTAAGGCGTAGGTGGTACGAACAAATTACGCAATAAACTCAATCGGTAAATATTTAAAATGCACGTTTCTTGATAGTTTGAATCGTGCTTACTCTTAGAAGGGCAGGGGGCAGTAGACTTTTTTCGGGGGGGGGGGGGGGGGGCACACCGCCCCCGAAGAGATGCCTGGAAGAAACTCTGATTATTTCAGCGTTTATATTATGATGCGACATAATCCCCATCAGAATAGTTTGTAGAGCAAGAAATGTAACTATATAAATGTTTAAAAAATAATTGTAAATCAGAATAATTATATCCGCAAGTTAAACCTTTATTTAAGATTGTTATTTCCAATAACTAGCACTTGATTCTACGTTAACTGTTTTACCATTTAGTTTTATACAATACATTTGTCTCAGAGTATTACCACAAGCTATATCTCCAGGCTATCGAGATGCTGAACGGTAAGGAAATCGATGGACGCGTTCTGTTTGCTGGCCCCGCCATGAAGAAGTCTGGAAGAAAAAGCCAGCAGTTGCCCCAGTACCCGGCTGAGCATGAGTTCAGAGAAATCGTCATAGAGGACTGTCTAGATATAGTCAACGACGCCCAGACCAAACTTCCAGAGCAGCATTGCCCTTCCCAGCAAGTCAGTTCCCAGAGAATCCCGCAGAGTTCCACCAGCTACACCAAACAGTTTTGTCTACTGCCTGCTATGTTGCCTCACAAACAACAGCACGGTTTTCAGTTTTCGGCGCAAAATCAGGAACAAGGGATCGTTTTGACTAGTTTAGCCCCGGAGAGTTTCGAGAACACCAACCAGGTTTTGTTGTTGCCTCAGATTCGCCCGCAGCATCAACATCCGATACAGCACCATCTGTCACAGCTACCATTATCGTCACAAGTATCTCAGCAACTTCCGCAAAGTCTCCAGGCAATCCAAATTCCACTTACGTCACAGCATCTACAACAGACTCAACCGACGCAATATATTAAATACTCGCAGATTCCTCAACCGCAGCAACCTCCACAATACCTACAGCAACCACAACAACACCAACAGCCTTCACAGATTCCTCAACCACAACAACCACTACATCACTTACAGCAACCACAGCTTCATCAACCGCAACAACACCTGCAGCCTTCACAGATTCTTCAACCACAGCAACAACCACAACACGCACAGCAACAACCACAACACGCACAGCAACAACAGCCTCATCAACCGCAGCCACCACTACATCACATACAGCAACAACAGCTTCCTCAACCGCAGCAACCACCACAATACCTACAACAACACCTACAACCCTCACATATTCCTCAACCACAGCAACCACCACAACATCTACAGCAACTACCACAACACCACCAACAGCCCTCACAGCATCCACTAAACGACAGTCTAAACCAGCATCAGCCAGATCACCAAGACAGCCTACAGATACTCCCCCACCAACAAGACACAAACCCGACCCGATATCTGGAGGAAGATCTGGTAGAAAAGTCTGACACACCGACCCACCCACATCAGAGTTCGGTTCCAGAAAACTCCATCCCGCCTGCAGCTCCCCCGGGGGTCAACTTGTATGTCAAGCATCTCGATGACGATGTCGATGACGTCATACTGAAAGGGATGTTCTCCAAATTTGGCGAGGTCATCAGTGCCAAGGTAAGTGTCCGATCTACATGAAGACGTTACCGTAAACCGAACAGCCTAGAAAACATTTACAAAAGCGTAACAATATGTCCAGCAAACTATTGTAACAGTTTCAACTTTTACGATCAAAAATTACATTCATCGAGCAATAAAAAAAGAAGTGTATTCATTCCTAAAATTAATCTTTAGCAATAGTTTTAAAAAGTATGTTTTGTTTTTAAATATGCGTGTTTGTTTATTTTTCGTATTTTAGCACAAACATTATAAGGATATAAAAAGAATGATTAAAAACATTTATCGTATTAATATATGGGAGGGTAAGATAAGACTTTTCAGCGTTGGGTATTTAAATTGCTATCTTCTTTTCTAAAGTTGAGTTTTTTAAATTGTGTGAAGAATATTAAATGTGTTTATGAACAAGTAGAATTCTATGCGTAACATGAATGGCATGAACTATTTAGTACTTAGCTTGTATGACCAGTTGGCTTATATTTATAAGTTTACATACATTCAAACGCGTACATTTTTAATTTATTCAACTAGGTGATGATGGAAGGTGAAAAGTCACGTGGTTTTGGATTCGTTTGTTTCGCTCGTGCCGAGGACGCCGCACGCGCCACACGGGACATGCGCAGAAGAGTCGACGACGTCAACCGGAAGCCGCTGTACGTAGCACCCGCGCAGCGCAAAGAGGAGAGGCAAGCGTTCTTCCGCGAGAAACTCAAGTCTCGCCAGAACGAAACTCGCTCGGCGGAGACGGAAGCTAGCCAGAAATGCAGTGCTTTTCTTCAGAGCATCAAGGAGCAGGATATCCCGGAATCTCAGCGAACGTCCAAGGAAGCTGCTCTTCACTTTCCCGGGGGTGACATCTCGAACTCGACGCCCAAGGTGGATCACGCGGCTAGGTCTGAGAGTATATTAGCAGGAGATCCGATACACGGAAAGTTAGGATGTTCTCTTTATTCGAATTCCGACGGTCAAACACCGGATAGCCAAAATGTTCAAGTTAATAAATTTCATAACCTTCATCGGCCTTTCCCTAAACGTAATAATTTTTATAATTTTGAATGTTTTAATGTTGAAAATTTGAGAACCCCTTTGATTAAACCCACTAGAATGACAAACCCTAACGAAGAGAACACCTTACTTTCGAATAACCGCATCGAATCGGAGTCGAATTCATCCCTGCCTGGTAATCTCTCAGACGAAAACGAACAGAATCTGGGAACGTCAATACTCAACAACATCAACTCCATACTCTCAACAAAAACAGCACTATCACCAAAAAGTGCCAGCGAAATTCCTGGATTTAGAAAAACGAATTTCCCGTGGAAAGGTAACGAAACGGCAGATTCTATATTTAGCTTCGGGAAAACCATCTACTCCGAAACGTGCACGGAAAACTGCAAGAAGCCTCTATCGCCAATTGGAAGTAAATTCTCATTCTCCGATCGGAAAAATTCTTTAAACCGCAGCTTTGTCGAAAAACCGAGACCCAATCAGAACAGCAGCCTTCGTCCCCGCCCCAACAGCAAGCTGACCCCTCTTGTGTGTGAGAGCAAAGAAGACACCACCAAACCCAGCAAAACTAGCAACGACGAAACCGTATTCTGTTTCTCCGGATCAACCCAGAATATCCCAAACCGCTTCATATTAAAGAGAGATTTCCCCATCTTTGATACCTTGCAAGATTCCCAAAACGTCGCCAATTTCACCAAGTCTGTCGTCCACGAATCCCCGTCTCCCCGGGCACCTTCCCCGTCCACGATCTCTAAAAGCACGTCTTCTAGCGAGATATTCACATTCTCCGGCAGCGGAAACAGTGACGTCACCCAGATCGTCCTTGACCCCTTAAAAAGCCCACAAGGTCAACATCCGTACTGCAACAACGAACCTGGACTACGCAGGAGTTCCAATGCCTTGAAGAGACGCAGTGATTCCTCCTTCGAGGCCGACGCTGAAGAGTTTGGGTTGAACTCCTTCACCCCATGGCCGGCCAAGAGAAGAATGATAGCGCCTCTACACGAGGCAGAACCCATTGAGGAGGTACACGTAGTCAGTAAAATTGCTTTTCGTAGGATATAGTTATTTTAATAGATTTATGAAAGAAAATTTAATGAATAGAAAATTCAACAAGTTCTGAAACATTTTTTCTATATTATACATTAATATTATTAAACCCAAATTAATGTGGGGGAAAAAACAGCCGATTATTTTTTTCTAAATTATCATTATGTTTTTCCTTACGACGGTAAAATCAAAGGGGTATGTACAGAGGCGTATCCAGGTTTTCGTTGTAGGGGGAGCGAAAAGAGCAAAAAAGGCGCCGAATTTTTAACACGTTCTATATACGTGTATTATATATATATATATATATATATATATATATATATATATATATATATATATATATATATATATATATATATAATTACTAGCTGTATGTCATTACTTCGCTATGATGTAAAATAAATTAAAAGTAGCACTCTGAAGAAATAAGAAAAAACACACAATGTAGGCCGACAAAATATTGCATCAATCTAAACAAAAAATATACACACACTACAACCAAAAACAATGAACGTAACACAATTTGTTTTGTAATTCTTGTAAAAAAAAAATTCTTACATAATAATTCCTGGGAAATTTTTTAAGACAAGTGAAATAGGGGAAATAATCACTCTCTTAATATAAATATGTATATATCTACACATTTAATTATAAATGTCAAAACAAATAAATAATTACTTTAGAATATAATGACACTGTTTAACACTATTCGTGTTTACAAAATGTTTTTGTCTGTAATCGGAACTTAATATATCGTCATCATAAATGCTAAAGTATTACAGCATAATGAAAATTTTTAAAATCAGAGGTGGTATAAAAACACGCTTTTCGATGAAATATCAAAACATTTGGAATAACTGCCTACATTTAACTAAATATCGGTGTTTTAGTTCAGATCATATATTTTAATTAACTACTGCTTCTTTGTGTTCTTTAAAGATCATTTTTTTAACATAGTGATAGGTATGGGTTAGATCACTGTATTGATCACACACCTTTTGACAGATAATTGCAAAAACAATATTCACAGAGTTTTACGTTTAAAAAGCTAATTTTCTGGCGGCATGGTACTTTGGTACATCATTACGCGTTTTTCTACATGTACTTAACAGATCAGTTCGGGGTGGGTTGGGTGGGGGGGGGGGGCGGAGGTGGGTTCAACTTCATTCACCACTGTCCGGTCACTTTAGGTCAATTATCCAACCCAGGTGTGACATTAATGTCGCTCTACACCATCGTGGTGGTGAGGTGTGTGTGTGGGGGGGGGGGGGGGGGGATAACCAACTCAGAGTGAACGTATCGTCAGTTTTTAGATGACTGTTTTAAACATACATATATATTACACAAATATAAATTACACAACTATATATTACATAAATAGATTTAAGTAAGTAGCAGTGGTATTATGACAATATTTTTTTTACAGAGGGGTCCATGGGGGAGGGGGGTTGTAACTGTTTTATATAATTGGTAATCGTAATCAAACTGTCATAATACTACTACTTCATCGTGATGACGTTGTTGACCTTGTCAAAATTTCCTCACCACTACGCAGTTTGCTCATAAGTAAATTTAAATAGAGGTGCCACATCAGGTGTATTTGTTTCTGTATTGTAATTTTAAAAAAAAAATTATCACGCGATTCAAACTGTATATATAAAGTAATTATGTGTGAAGTTTTATGTATAACATTTTCTAATTCAATTATTCGTAAGCAAATACATTATACAGTTGCCTTAAACTTAACACCCCTCTTGCCAAGTGGTAATACCCGTAGAGCTTTTATTAAACATTGCAATGCATCGTAATGGTTATTTTTAGAATGGCAAACTGATGCAGCTGTTAATACGTGTTGTAAAGGTAGACACTACTAGACTATTACAATAATGCTTAATTGCTGCATGAAAAGAAATCTTGTGCTTTACATAGATGTGCCGACCAAAAATATTTTTTTAACAAATATCATTCTTTAAAACTTTGAGTTTAAAAAGTTTCCAAAAAGGCGCTATTTTGCTGAAAATGGCCAGAGGGGGAGCGGTCGCTCCCCCTGCTCCCCCCCTGCGTACGCTACTGGGTATGTAGGTAGACGTGATCGGGGTGGAAAAACTTATCTCAATGTAGACATTAACTTCTTTGTCTAACTACAAAAGTGTTGGACAGGTCTCTCCTGTTAAGCGCATGGTTGCTAAACCGACAACTTCTTAAGTTCAAACCCTTTTGTGACATAAGGCTCGATAGCTGGGGATAACAAACCAACTAGGAGAGAACACTCCAAAACAACTACTGTCTTGTAATTTGTTCTTAACTATACAAAGTCTAAGGAAGCAACTCCAAAAAAAAACAGCAAGCTAAAATCGGAGTCAATAGCCTATATGTAGCATACCAGGTTGACATGTAATTGTTTTTGAGGGTATCTCTTCCAACACTAAAATTAAGAACGAAGAGAAGACGAAGGCTTTGAAAGCAAATCCAAAAGAACAGCAAGCTAAAATCGAATTCAATTGCCTAAATGACGCCTAACAGGTTGACATGTACTATTTAATTTATTTTAAAGGACAAGCCCGTCTATAATTTGTATTCGTTGTAATCGCATTTACTTTTCAAAGGTTCGAGGTTCGTCGCCATCTTTTGACATCCCCGGCTACGGTCACTTGAGTCTGCGACTGATGTCCGGCTGGCCGGTCGAGCAGCAGAAGATGACCCTGATGGATCCAGTCAAGGCCAGCCTGAAAGACATTCTCCAAGAAATGCTAGAAACCGATGACCAGGTGTCCAAATCGTGAGTCGTTTTCCCACATTCGTTTGTGTTGTCTTATTTTAGTAAGTACAGACATTTCATTCATCTACGGCAGACTTGATAATATCACTTTTATTATTACTTAAAATGTAGTCACCACTGAGTAATATAACACTCAATATATGTACAGAAACATGTTAATACAGTTTAATTTTAACAATAAGATTAACTTCCCAGAGGGTATGAAATCCTGGGGGAGGAGGAGGGAGAGATATTTGGCCAGTGTTTCTTTCAGATATTTAGCTCCAAATATGCAGACTTTTGAAAAATTAAATTGGTTATACTATTTTGCCCAAAGAAGAGGCTTTGGGCGTTCTACCAACCCTAACCCCTTGAGAAATGTCTCCAAACAACACTGCACAAAGCATGACTCGTGTTTTTCAGGAACCAGGAGCAGCACCTGAGCCAGATTGTCCAAGAGTTGGTCTACAGGAACTGGACAGTGACGTCATTAAGTGAGAGGCTAATGGCTATGATAATGGAGATGGATGTCGGCGAAATCCTTAACCTTCTGCAGTCGAAAGATCTAATCGTATATCTGGTTAGTTATCGAATCCATTTATATATATATATAAATAAATATATATATATATATATATATATATATATATATATATATATATATATATATATATATATATATATATATATATATATATATATATATATATAGACATATACACATATGTATATATATTTAACTATATATAACTATATATATATATATATATATATATATATATATATACAAATAAATATATAGGCTTATAAATATAATAAAAATGATATACAGCTGGAGGCTAATTAATGAAAATTAAAACTTCATAATTTAAATGTGCTGAACTTTGGTCATTTTGCAGAAATCAAAAATTCATTGCAAAGAGAAAATAAGTGTTTTATAATTATAAGCTTCTGTTGCTTCCTTACAATATGCAATGAAAGTGTAACTATGTAACTGTTTTAATTTTTAGGACCACTACTTCATTCTTTCGATTATCCAAAATTCATTTTCCTATTTTCATAAGCTGTAGAGTAAACATGTTAATATAATATTTTGTTTTGAATTGGCCTAGATTTTAGAAGGATTAACGCAAATTCACAACTATCAAGACGAGACCCAACCACCGGATAGAGAGAATACGACCAGTGTGGTGGAGGTTGACCACACATCAACACTGCCCCCTGCGGATGAACCCGAACCTGATAACGACCCCCCAACCAATACCTCAGATCTATAAAACTTGAACGATGTAACGAAAAGCCCAAATTAAAAATGTTTGAGAGCTATTATAAATTTAGAGAATATCTGGTTTAGAATAGATATTATAACTCAATTGTATTAGCATGATGCTATAGTTAACTTGGAAATTTGGTAGGGAGAATATAAACTACGATAACTATCGTAAATATTTATAAATTTTATTTTAAATACATATTAATATTTTAAAAGAAATATCGTACTTATATTTAATAATATTGGTTTTTTAAAGAGTGTTATCTTTGTTAAAAGAAAATTAGAGATATGTTTACTTAAAAGATGTAATTAATAAAATTCAAGTGTTAATTAAATTTTAAAATGAAAACCACGTCACACCCGCCCTGGTGTTACCGCTGGTCAGCTGATTCAGCTGGTTAGTGAAGAGACCTGGGTTCGAACCCACACCCCTCGGCCCCCAATCCTCGCGTGTTGCCTCCCTGTCAGTGTGTCGCGTCTAGAGGTGTGTGCTACATTTTTATTGCATGTTATTTCCTAATTAAATAACGTGTAACTAAGATTCACACTATTTTCTGTGTTTTCCTTATTATTTTTTTTTATGTCTTGTTGGCACATTATTATTGCAGGTCTAAAGCAGTAAGATAGATGATCAATTAAAGGTATTCTTTCTATCACTAACGAAAAAACGAAATTATTTACTTGTAGATAAGAACGAGATAGTTAAAGTCTTCTTCTTCTTCTTCGTTCTTAATTTTAGTGTTGTAAGTGATCCCCTACAAAACAGTTAACCATACGTTTCAACTGGTTATTCACTATAGTTAAAGTAAATGCTATGCAATAGAAAGTGTACCTTAAAATGTACAAGAAATAAAAGTGGTAATCTGCTTGATGTTAAATTAACGAAGACCACACTGGATGAACCACAGATGTCCACGTTTTTAGATTTTTTTTAGTTAGGGTCACAGTCATACTGGTGTTTCATGTATAACAATATGAAAACGTAAAAAAAAAACAACCTCGAACACCTCAATATATAGGATTGTAAAATCATTCCACAATAGAACAGCAAAGGATCTCGAACACAAAATCTCCTTTTTTTTTCTTCTCAAAAGTAGAAAACTGTGACAGCTGTAGTTTACTCCACATAATAATTCAGTAGATAAGTAAGCTCAAATATCTGTTAAAAAGAATAATATTTCAGTTTAAATAAAGCATGCATAAAATAAACTGAAATGTCTTAATGAAAACCAGACACTACCATACCCACATTTATAAAAAAAAGTGTCGCAACAATCAATAAACATTTGATTTGATGCCTAAAGTATCGAGAATATCTTTAGACCATTCTAAGAGCATCAACCATTTTAGCCTTAAAACAAGACACATTTTTAAATAAGCCTAAATTATTGAAACTATAATTTATTACAATAGAAAAAGTATTACCATACTTTAAAAAATACAGATGTGTACATTAAAAAATAGGCCAATCAGAACTGACAATCAGACTGTAGTGAAATTGTGTTCAAGTATACAGTTAATAACACTTTCAAAACTCAAGCAAACTAAATTGTTTGTACAGTATTTTATTAATTCATAAAGTAGTCGTTTTAAGAAAACAAAAACAGGTTCTACCCAAAAACTAGAAATTATTTTTAAAACAGATTCAATTAATTTTCATCGTTTTTTCTGGGGAACTTTAGCAAATTCTTTTACTTCAATTTTAAAAAACGTCAACTGTTAAATAAAATTAGGTCATAATCCAGAATTAAAACATAAAATAGCGTTGTTACATTCAGCGATAAAGTACAAAACATTGATGTTCTTAATGAAGTGTTAAAGAGAAAAAATCTTGCGGCATTTTAACCTAAACTTGAGGTTAAAGAAAAAATCTTGCGACAGGTTAACCTAAACTTGAGGTTAAAGAAAAAATCTTGCGGCAGGTTAACCTAAACTTGAGGTTAAAGAAAAAATCTTGCTACAGGTTAACTTAAACTTGAGGTTAAACCTCAGGTAGATAACCAGGTGCACGCCAGCGTGGATGTGAGTACAGGTGTAGCCGATGGTCTCAGTGATGTTGTACAGCTGCCAGTACTTGCCCGTGGAGTTGAATCCCGGGATGAAAACAGCCGCTAGGCTGTTCAATGAGAGGATCATTACCGTGAACATCAAACAGCACGCCACCGTGACAACCTGTCGGATCACGTGGAGATCACGTTTGGTTAGAATATTTTTATCACCGTGATCCTCTTCGTAGTCGTGACTTGATTTTTTTATTTCCGGTTTTCGTTTATTTCCTGACGTCATTTTCAATCTCATTGCTGACGCCTCTACTAACGACGATGAAAGGATAACGGAACAGATAAGAACGATGACGAAAATTGCATTAGGGTAGGCTGTTCTGTTTAACAGATTGTTAAATTCTACAGATGATTTGAAGTCTTTAGAAAACCAACCAACTAGCTGTGATCTGTTGGTTTGCGGGTTCGAAACCCAAATCAGTCCCATTGAAGTGAAAACAGGAAGTCTAGACGTTAAAGCTGTGATCACTATAATAGTCAGAACGATGAACGTCCGCTTTAATGTGAACACGGATTTAAACTTGAGGGCTATGACAACACAGCAGCATTTGGCAATGGCTACATAGGCGATTATTCCTAAAGATATATCTAAAAATAGACCTTGGTAGTACACAGCTATTCCTGCTAGAAAAAACGCGTTTATCGGCATAGATCTCGTAGTGCCAGAGAGTCCTATTACTGTAGCAGAGGCGGGTAGGGAGGAACAGAGCAGGTAGGCGAGGTCAGTAGTAGACAGTGCCAGAAACGACGCCATCATGCTGTCCTTGACCCCCATGGTGACGAAGACGAGAATGTTGATGATGTTGGTGATGATGCCGATGATGATGACGCACGGCCAGATGCCGTAGAAGATGGCGTACTGGATAATGGCGTATAGGCGCTCGTTAACAAACGTGACCACGTACTGCTCTACGACCGGTGCAATTGTAGCGTTGGGTGCGGACATTATACCGTTGTATTTCGCATCTAATTAGGATCCTCGATTTCACTTATTTATCCGTATATATTGTAAATCAAAATTTTAAATACGTTAATTACAACTACACTACGCTAAATATTTTGTAGGTTATAGTAGTTCTATTGTTGTTTTTAAATATTTATTTTGTAAATGCAGATTATATCTCGAAAAAAGGGAAATTACTTTATTGCACCTAATTATATTTGTACTTATAAAATGTTATTTAGAATCAAACATTTCGACTACTTTAGAATAAATACATATGAAACAACAGAGTAGATACATATGACTAAAATAAATAAAGTTCTAAAAGGGGAGAGTTTAAATATTTTTTATTGCGCAGTAAATTTGTGTTATTTATACATACAAAAATAATTATTTTTTTCAGGTATTACTTTTTAATCAACTTAATTTTCTGTTTGCGTTTTTAATCAGCCCACTTTTTAAAAACTAATTTATTTCTCACACATCCGACTACATCGACTAAGATAATTAGGAATGGATAATGATTATTTACACTAATCAACTGGTTTAATCAATTTTTAGAACTAACCTGGGTTATAATTGCTTTTCTTATTTGACGAATTTAAAATGCAAACAGTTTAATTTTGTACGAAGACACATTAAAAATTGAAAATATAAAAACTGTTAATTATAAATTGACACGTTTGTTTAAAATGTTAACACAGCGTTTGTCAATGCGACTATTAAGTGCATACAAACAGTTTATGAAACGGGTGATGGGTAGGTGTTTATGTAATTAGGAGAAATTCGTGATCGTCGCTAATTAAACTTAAGAACGTTTGCACTTAGGTAAGTATACCGAAAAAACAAACGTCAGATATTTTAACAATTATCAAGGTCATTAAATGAACGAAAATAAGTGCATGTGTCAGAATTTGATTCAGGTCTTTGACCTAACGTTAAGGTATACAAAAATTCAGTTCGAAAAGGTTTGTAACTCAGATGTTTACTTCATCATTCTCTTTACTCGGTTATTTCGTCACGTTTCATTTTGACACAATGTATTATTTTGTATTGCTTTATTATTATGGGGCTAAGCTTATCATCCGAGTCCTTAGACAGTGTGTTATTGATCTTGTTTATTATATAATACAATCTTTGTTGTGGCCTATTAAAACCTGAGATTTATTTAGTCACCAGGTTAGATAATTAATAGTTATTGCTTTTTTTTTCTAAAATTCGAAATTCTCGAATGTCACAATAGTAGACTTTGGTTAAGTTTGCAATTTCTAAGTAAATCAAGAAGATGGGACGAATTTAGTTTCATTTATTTGTAGCTTAAGTAAAACCAAGGAATTAGTAACAAGTATTACAGACTAAAATTCATTCGATTATAAAATTATCAAGAAAAAAACGCAGATTAAATGTAGGTTACCTGGACGAGAGTTATTGAAAAAGACATGAAAATTATTGAGCTAGGGAAAAAATAACAAATGTTAGAAAAGCAAAGGATGAAGATGTATATAGCCTATACCCGCGGGGAAGTTGAAAAGATAATAAAGAGAACAAGGTGAATAGCAAAATGAAAAACGAACATAAAATAATAACGATTGTCTAATGGAGATTGGAGTGAGACGTGTCGGTAAAGATCATGGTTGCTCGGGGACATCAACCTAGGAGAGAAAATTCTGAAGTCAAAACCAGCTGCCTTGTAGTTTGTTTTTGGGTGGACAAAGACTATGGACGAAAATCCAGAACGAAAAGTTTGTTAAAATATGAGAAAACTGCATATATGGCGCATAAGAAGTTGACACGTAACACTATTGTGTTGGACGAAATCAGTTCCCAATTTACAAGTAAGAACGAAGAAAAAGAAGTTAATCTAATCAAGAAAATTACAGCAGAATTAAACACGGTCAATTGCGATGTGGAGTAAATAAAAACCTATGAAATCAGCTAAGAAGGTAGACAATCACTGATATAAACTCGAGATGAAAAAACGTAACTCCCGAAAAGGAGACACTGAATTACAATCACATTGAGTCATAAGATGGAGCAAAAAATGCTTACTTATGCAGTAGCTAAGGAACAAATTAAATATCGAAATAGCCAAAACACAATACCCACTAATAAAGCTCCAGACATAAATAATTTTTTTGTTATGTCAAACATTAAAACTGTTATTTTCGTCTTGTATAATATTTTTTTTGTTAACAAAATAATGCTAGTACCACCTTCACGTTTATAGATATCATTCAAAAATTATAAAATGCTTCTACATTTACTAACGGGCATTTGTTCACACTGTACACTAACTATACACTTGAGATTTTATATTTAAAGAAAAGGTTAACTAGTCTTAAAATGTTGTCGAATTGTAAAGCGCACAACTGAAAGCATCAAAGTGTTATGTTCGGTTCTGAGACATTGGTGGATTAAGCAATTTTCAAATATCTCAACTCTGATATGCACACAGTCAGATTAGCTGAATAGACAACAAGGCATAGAAGTGGCAATACTATTCCTTTGTTTTAGGAGGGAAAAGATAAGGTGAACTCTAATATGCAATAGTCACTTTAACATACAAACAACTTTTAATATTTTTTTTTTAAATTTACCGTTTAAAAAGGTTTTTCTAATTTGAAATCTACTTGCATTATTTACCGTTATTTACAAAAATGTATCTTAAGTGTCTATGTTTTTGAAGTTACCGTTTTACAAATGCTTTTCTTCTTTGCTAGTTATGTTTGGTTCAGTGGAGATTCTCAAAATGTCATCTCTTATCAATATCACTGTTTACTGCTTAAGATCTGAGAGGAAATATCTTGCGACAGGTTAACCTAAACTTGAGGTTAAACCTCAGGTAGATGACCAGGTGCACGCCAGCGTGGATGTGAGTACAGGTGTAGCCGATGGTCTCAGTGATGTTGTACAGCTGCTTGTACCTGCCCATCGAGCTAAAATCTTTGACAAAAACTGCGGCCAGACTGTTGACTGACAGTATCAGCACCGTGAACATCAAACAGCACGCCACCGTGACAACCTGTCGGATCACGTGGAGATCACGTTTGGTTAGAACATTGTTCATCTCTTTAGATACATCTTCTTTACCGCGACTTGAAGTTCTTTTCACTATTTTTGTTCTATAACCTGACGTCATTTTCAGCCTCATTGCCGAAGCCTCTACCAAAGACGATGAAAGGATAATGGAACAGATAAGAACGATGAAGAAAATTGCATTAGGGTAGGCTGTTCTGTTTAACAGATTGTTAAATTCTACAGACGGTTTGAAGTCTTTAGAAAACCAACCAACTATTTGCGAACTGTTGGTTTGCGTGAGACCCATCGAAGTAAAAACAGGAAGTCTAGACGTTAAAGCTGTGATCACTATAATAGTCAGAACGATGAACGTCCGCTTTAATGTGAACACGGATTTAAACTTGAGGGCTATGACAACACAGCAGCATTTGGCAATGGCTACATAGGCGATTATTCCTAAAGATATATCTAAAAATAGACCTTGGTAGTACACAGCTATTCCTGCTAGAAAAAACGCGTTTATCGGCATAGATCTCGTAGTGCCAGAGAGTCCTATTACTGTAGCAGAGGCGGGTAGGGAGGAACAGAGCAGGTAGGCGAGGTCAGTCGTGGACAGTGCCAGAAACGACGCCATCATGCTGTCCTTGACCCCCATGGTGACGAAGACGAGAATGTTGATGATGTTGGTGATGATGCCGATGATGATGACGCACGGCCAGATGCCGTAGAAGATGGCGTACTGGATAATGGCGTATAGGCGCTCGTTAACAAACGTGACCACGTACTGCTCTACGACCGGTGCAATTGTAGCGTTGGGTGCGGACATTATACCGTTGTATTTCGCATCTAATTAGGATCCTCGATTTCACTTATTTATCCGTATATATTGTAAATCAAAATTTTAAATACGTTAATTACAACTACACTACGCTAAATATTTTGTAGGTTATAGTAGTTCTATTGTTGTTTTTAAATATTTATTTTGTAAATGCAGATTATATCTCGAAAAAAGGGAAATTACTTTATTGCACCTAATTATATTTGTACTTATAAAATGTTATTTAGAATCAAACATTTCGACTACTTTAGAATAAATACATATGAAACAACAGAGTAGATACATATGACTAAAATAAATAAAGTTCTAAAAGGGGAGAGTTTAAATATTTTTTATTGCGCAGTAAATTTGTGTTATTTATACATACAAAAATAATTATTTTTTTCAGGTATTACTTTTTAATCAACTTAATTTTCTGTTTGCGTTTTTAATCAGCCCACTTTTTAAAAACTAATTTATTTCTCACACATCCGACTACATCGACTAAGATAATTAGGAATGGATAATGATTATTTACACTAATCAACTGGTTTAATCAATTTTTAGAACTAACCTGGGTTATAATTGCTTTTCTTATTTGACGAATTTAAAATGCAAACAGTTTAATTTTGTACGAAGACACATTAAAAATTGAAAATATAAAAACTGTTAATTATAAATTGACACGTTTGTTTAAAATGTTAACACAGCGTTTGTCAATGCGACTATTAAGTGCATACAAACAGTTTATGAAACGGGTGATGGGTAGGTGTTTATGTAATTAGGAGAAATTCGTGATCGTCGCTAATTAAACTTAAGAACGTTTGCACTTAGGTAAGTATACCGAAAAAACAAACGTCAGATATTTTAACAATTATCAAGGTCATTAAATGAACGAAAATAAGTGCATGTGTCAGAATTTGATTCAGGTCTTTGACCTAACGTTAAGGTATACAAAAATTCAGTTCGAAAAGGTTTGTAACTCAGATGTTTACTTCATCATTCTCTTTACTCGGTTATTTCGTCACGTTTCATTTTGACACAATGTATTATTTTGTATTGCTTTATTATTATGGGGCTAAGCTTATCATCCGAGTCCTTAGACAGTGTGTTATTGATCTTGTTTATTATATAATACAATCTTTGTTGTGGCCTATTAAAACCTGAGATTTATTTAGTCACCAGGTTAGATAATTAATAGTTATTGCTTTTTTTTTCTAAAATTCGAAATTCTCGAATGTCACAATAGTAGACTTTGGTTAAGTTTGCAATTTCTAAGTAAATCAAGAAGATGGGACGAATTTAGTTTCATTTATTTGTAGCTTAAGTAAAACCAAGGAATTAGTAACAAGTATTACAGACTAAAATTCATTCGATTATAAAATTATCAAGAAAAAAACGCAGATTAAATGTAGGTTACCTGGACGAGAGTTATTGAAAAAGACATGAAAATTATTGAGCTAGGGAAAAAATAACAAATGTTAGAAAAGCAAAGGATGAAGATGTATATAGCCTATACCCGCGGGGAAGTTGAAAAGATAATAAAGAGAACAAGGTGAATAGCAAAATGAAAAACGAACATAAAATAATAACGATTGTCTAATGGAGATTGGAGTGAGACGTGTCGGTAAAGATCATGGTTGCTCGGGGACATCAACCTAGGAGAGAAAATTCTGAAGTCAAAACCAGCTGCCTTGTAGTTTGTTTTTGGGTGGACAAAGACTATGGACGAAAATCCAGAACGAAAAGTTTGTTAAAATATGAGAAAACTGCATATATGGCGCATAAGAAGTTGACACGTAACACTATTGTGTTGGACGAAATCAGTTCCCAATTTACAAGTAAGAACGAAGAAAAAGAAGTTAATCTAATCAAGAAAATTACAGCAGAATTAAACACGGTCAATTGCGATGTGGAGTAAATAAAAACCTATGAAATCAGCTAAGAAGGTAGACAATCACTGATATAAACTCGAGATGAAAAAACGTAACTCCCGAAAAGGAGACACTGAATTACAATCACATTGAGTCATAAGATGGAGCAAAAAATGCTTACTTATGCAGTAGCTAAGGAACAAATTAAATATCGAAATAGCCAAAACACAATACCCACTAATAAAGCTCCAGACATAAATAATTTTTTTGTTATGTCAAACATTAAAACTGTTATTTTCGTCTTGTATAATATTTTTTTTGTTAACAAAATAATGCTAGTACCACCTTCACGTTTATAGATATCATTCAAAAATTATAAAATGCTTCTACATTTACTAACGGGCATTTGTTCACACTGTACACTAACTATACACTTGAGATTTTATATTTAAAGAAAAGGTTAACTAGTCTTAAAATGTTGTCGAATTGTAAAGCGCACAACTGAAAGCATCAAAGTGTTATGTTCGGTTCTGAGACATTGGTGGATTAAGCAATTTTCAAATATCTCAACTCTGATATGCACACAGTCAGATTAGCTGAATAGACAACAAGGCATAGAAGTGGCAATACTATTCCTTTGTTTTAGGAGGGAAAAGATAAGGTGAACTCTAATATGCAATAGTCACTTTAACATACAAACAACTTTTAATATTTTTTTTTTAAATTTACCGTTTAAAAAGGTTTTTCTAATTTGAAATCTACTTGCATTATTTACCGTTATTTACAAAAATGTATCTTAAGTGTCTATGTTTTTGAAGTTACCGTTTTACAAATGCTTTTCTTCTTTGCTAGTTATGTTTGGTTCAGTGGAGATTCTCAAAATGTCATCTCTTATCAATATCACTGTTTACTGCTTAAGATCTGAGAGGAAATATCTTGCGACAGGTTAACCTAAACTTGAGGTTAAACCTCAGGTAGATGACCAGGTGCACGCCAGCGTGGATGTGAGTACAGGTGTAGCCGATGGTCTCAGTGATGTTGTACAGCTGCTTGTACCTGCCCATCGAGCTAAAATCTTTGACAAAAACTGCGGCCAGACTGTTGACTGACAGTATCAGCACCGTGAACATCAAACAGCACGCCACCGTGACAACCTGTCGGATCACGTGGAGATCACGTTTGGTTAGAACATTGTTCATCTCTTTAGATACATCTTCTTTACCGCGACTTGAAGTTCTTTTCACTATTTTTGTTCTATAACCTGACGTCATTTTCAGCCTCATTGCCGAAGCCTCTACCAAAGACGATGAAAGGATAATGGAACAGATAAGAACGATGAAGAAAATTGCATTAGGGTAGGCTGTTCTGTTTAACAGATTGTTAAATTCTACAGACGGTTTGAAGTCTTTAGAAAACCAACCAACTATTTGCGAACTGTTGGTTTGCGTGAGACCCATCGAAGTAAAAACAGGAAGTCTAGACGCTAAAGCTAAGATTACTATAATAATCAGAACGATGAACGTCCGCTTTAATGTGAACACGGATTTAAACTTGAGGGCTATGACAACACAGCAGCATTTAGCTACGGCTACGTAGGCGATGATTCCTAGAGAAATGTCTAAAAATAAACCTTGGTAGTACACAGCAATACCCGCTAGATAAAACGCGTTTATCGGCATCGTTTTCGAGTTTCCAGACACACCGATAATTGTAGCAGAAGCGGGTAGGGAAGAACAGAGCAGGTAGGCGAGGTCAGTAGTGGACAGTGCCAGAAACGACGCCATCATGCTGTCCTTGACCCCCATGGTGACGAAGACGAGAATGTTGATGATGTTGGTGATGATGCCGGTGACGATGACGCACGGCCAGATGCCGTAGAAGATGGCGTACTGGATGGAGGTGTAGAGGCGCTCGTTTAAAAACATGACAAAGTACGGCTCTACGGCCGGTGTAGTTGTAGCGTTGAGCGACGCCATCATACAGGCTGTAAAAGTGTTTATTTTACAACGTTTACTCTAACCAAAAACCATTATATATCCTATTTACATTAGAGATCTAGCTCTCTCTCTCTCTCTCTCTCATTTTAAAAACCACACTACACATTATTTTTTTCAAACAATAAGACCTTCAAATTTTTAACAGAAAAAAAAAACAAATAGTATGTTGTTTCCAATAAATTTAAGTTGTTTTTATTTTCCTTTTTAGAAATAACAGCCTTCTGTGCAACGAAACGTGTCCAGTTCTAACAAAATTTAGAAAACAACAATTAACCCAAGAAAAGATAATTGTAAGAAATTACAGATTGACTTTTGCCGAACAACTAAGCAAGAAAGAAACGTTAAAGCCTCTAAGATGCAATTTAAAAATCAATATGTGCTTCGCGATTCATTTTCGACTTTTGTGTTTGGATACTTCAAAACAAAGATTCACTCAAACGTGACTAGATTTCTTTTTTAAACATCAGCAAAACATATACAGCTGGTAGTTTACTAAACGTTTACAACGTACACGCAACGAAGCGTCTCACACGAATCATGTTAATCATGTGTTTACATTTTTTTTAAATTTAATGTACTGTTTGTGTTGTGAGCTTGATCTTTTAAAATCAATCTAATTCCCGGTGTTAAAAATTTCTGCCACAATTCTAAACAAAGTAAGCTAATTACATAGGACATATTTCAACATTTATATGTACACATTTATTAACTCTCTTAATAAATGGTAAGAAGAAAGCGTTATAAGAATAAATCTTTGAACCAAAGTGCGAAAAGTTTAAAAATATTTTCACAACGACAACCTCCATATGGAATTATAAAAATGTTTTACTGGAATATATTTGTCGGTTTGTGTCTGATTTTTGGCCGGCTTATTTTCCAAATTGTTGCCGGCTGGTATCAAGATTACGACCGGCAGATACAACCTTTTGGCCGGTTGGTGTAAATATGTGACCGGCTAATATCAGACTTTTGGCCACCTGGTGTCAAAATGTGGTAGAGCTAATGTCTAAATTATGACATGAGGTTGTCAAGATTTTGACCAGCTCTTGTCAAAGTTTTGACCGGATGTGACTGTAAAGTTTGGAGCGGCTGATGTTGAGATTTTGACTGGCTAATGTAATACATTTGACCAGAAGTT